GAAAGGGAATTTGCATATTTGACTAATAATCAAGTGACGCGTATAAGCTCTTCTCAAATAATTATTGCTGAGGAATTGACAGTGGACGTAGAAGTAACCACCAACTCATGAAAATGTTTTCAACGTTTTATAAAAAAAAATGAAATTGTATTAATTAATATTTACGAAGCTGCCATAAATTCGACAGATAATAATGAGGAAATGTAAAAAAAATTACTATTCGCTGATTAAATATTTACATATGTTTCTGTTGGGACTTGATTGCTAAACAGTAGACTTTCATAGTGAGAAGTGATTACGTCACTGCTAACATTGTATTAAATTAAACACATATATAAACACAGCCACACTCATTATCTATCTATCTATCTATCTATCTATCTTTTTCATAATCTTATCTAACTCTCCTCGCTCTTGTCGAGCTTAACAACACTGTTCTCTTGGTAATTCGGACCACCCTGGCAGCTATTGATATTTCGTGCCGATCATCCGTTAAACAGGAGCCCCCTCCCCATAAGAGCTCTTTCCGTTACCTGCATGCTGATTGGGACCCACTCCGTGATTTTCTTTGTGACGCCCCATGGACTGTCATCTTTAACCTCTCAACTGAAAATTGCGCCACTGAGTCTTCTTGGGTCAAAGTCGGCATGGACACTTTCATAACATCTCAGAAATACTAGTTGAAAGCGTAATCCTTTCCATTATTCACACCACTATGCTCGCCCGTTATAGCACACAGGAACCACTATTTTCGCCAATACTAGCATGACAACGTACTCTCGTCACAACTGGCGCCTATTCGTTACTGTGCGTAATAAATGTAAGCGAGACCTCGAAGGAGCTAAGTCCCGGTTTGCCGAGATAATGAGGCACCACATAGCCTCTAACAACTTTGGTTCTCGTGATTACTGGCGGCTCTGTAATAGGGTATTAAATAAGTACGTCTTTATTCCCACTCTTTAATCAATTTGAGATGTTATCACCCTCTGCTGAAAAAGCTGAAAGCCTCCCTCGTAAATTCTCCGCAACTCTACTTTTGACTTGTCTAGAGTATTTCTGCCACTTAGAACTGAATCTCTGTTGAGTGATATGCATATAACCCCATCCATGGTCTTTGCTGTAATTTCTAACCTTGATCCCCACAAAGCGTTTGGATCCGATGGTATCTCTGTAAGTCATTAAGAAGTGTGCTCCCGAACTAGATCCTGCTCCCTATAAACTGTATAATAAATGCCTTGCTGCCTCCGGCTTTCTTGACAGTTGTAAGTCATCGTCTATTGTTCTAGTTTTTAAGAAGTCTTGTGAACCGTTTGACCCTTCCAACTATCGGCCTATTAGACTTCTACCTCTCTTTGGGAAGCTCCTAAAGCCCTAATCAATGTTGAATGGGTTCATCACCTCTCATTGCAGGTTTTTTTCTTATCAAGCAATACGGGTTTCATTTCTCCAGGTCAACTACAGATGTTCTGACGATAATTTCGGAAAGAAACTATTATGCTCCAAATAAAAACAGCCCAGACTGTAGCATTGGATATCTCGAAAGCCTTTGACATGGTCTTCTATACATGCTGAAAAGTTATGGTGTCTCCGGACACATTTTTGAGCTGATCCAGTCTTTCCTATCAAATCATGAATTGAAAGTTATCTTGAACGGCCACTCGTCTAGATCCGTTCATACTAACGCGGATGTCCCCTTGGGCTATATCCTCGGTCCTACGCTGTTTTTAATTTTCATTAATAACCTTTCCGATGATATCAGCTACCAACTTAGCATCTATATTGACAATTTCCTGTCTCGATAGTAAGGCTGATCAGTCCGACAAAGTCAAAATGGTAGCCAATGTCCAAAACGGCTTTAAGTCCGTCGTTAACTGAGGCAAAAGGTAGCATGTCAATTTTAACGCCCCCAAAACTAAACTTCTCTCGATTAATCCTATGCAAGAATTATCTATGCCTTCCAACAGCATGGCTGATGCTAACCTCCAGGAAAGTGACTTGTTGCGCCTTCTCAGGGTAACGTTCTCAGCTGACATATAAAGAAAAGATTATATTGAAACCATTGCTAAGTCAGCCGCTAAAAAGGTAGGTTCACTGTGTTGTGCGAGACAATTTTTTTCTCCAGAATTTATCTTGCATATCTATAAGTCTACCATTCATCTATGCTTAGAATATTGTTGCCACATATATTCCGGTGTACCTGCTGTTTACCTGAAGCTCCTTGATAAGTTCCAAAGAAGAATCAGCAATATTATTGGTTCTGATCTGGTGGCTCGGTTTCAGTCACTTACCCACCGCAGTAAGGTTGCCTCTCTCTGCCTTATTTATGAATACTTCCATGATGATTGTTCGGATGAGCCCTTCGCTATGGTATTTAGAATCTATGAATTTAAGCGCAATACTAGACTAGCGCCGAGATCTCATCAATTCACAGCTGAGCTAGATGTAGCCGTAAGTTCAATTTTAAGAGTTTATTTTCTCATAATTTTTGCTTATGGAACTCCCTTCCGGCTCCATGGTTTTCAGCCCACTTTAATCTGCAAAAATTTGAATGCAATGTCAATCGTTATCATCTGTCTTTTTGATTCATTTTCTTTTATTGTTTTCGCTCCTTAACAATGTTTTTCATTTTCTTATTCTTTCACCCTCAGTAACCCCCCACCCTCGTGTTTTAGTGGCTTTACTGCCTTGCTTGGGGTGAAATTATTAAGAAAAAAATTTTCTTATGTATTTCTAAACCCAAAAGTAGAAAATTTCGCCTGACCTATTTAGCGACAACAATTCCTTTGTTTTTTCCTTTACAACGACAAACATGGTTGATTACTCAACCATTACCAAGAGAAACAGAAAAATACAATCAATAGATAAAAAATATAGGTAAAGATACGTCACCCGGTAGTTCTTCCTTTTAGGTAATACCTTTTATGCACACACACACACACACACACACACACACACACACACACACACACACACACACACACACATATATATATATATATATATATATATAGATAGATAGATGGATGGAGACAGAGAGAGAGAGAGAGAGAGAGAGAGAGAGAGAGAATTGTAAGAAACGGTCAGGGAGAAATTATATATATATATATATATATATATATATATATATATATATATATGTGTGTGTGTGTGTGTGTATGCACATGTCCGAAGTTTCTGTACATATATATATAAATGTATAGATGCACATAATGTTTTTCGTGTTGAACTTGGTTAAAAATTGTACATTTCCCTCCTTCCTAATGTACATTTATATCACAAACAGAATTTATATACTTACATACATAAATATAGAAGAAATCTCGCACATATAGTTCTGAAGAACTTTTGAAAATTTTCAAGTTCTTCCTCTTCCAGGAAATAGGATTATCATTGATGAATGTCTACGAAGACAGTCAAAGAAATGATTCTCCTGGATTGGTTGACGAGATATTTAGCAAATATGACGTCACACATTGACATTAAAGCACCTAGGAGCCTTACTGGGGAAAAGGTAATATTCTTTCACAAAAGAATCCTTTGTGTAGTAAGGAATAAGGAAAATAGCACGGTCCAGTTGATTCACTTCAAAATGCAAATACGTTAAATTGCGATGAGCTGATAAAGTGTCTACATATCTGTGTTAAGGGTTTGTATAACAAGTTTATCTCTGCACAACTGCAAATGATGAAGAAATCAAAATCCCTCTCTTTTCTTACTTAAAATATGCTACCAACTTTTCAGGGAAGATCTGATCGAAGACGTTAGCCGTTTACTTCTAAAAACCGCCATTCTTTTTCAAAAAAATTTGTTTAATTTTTAGACAAGAATACTGAAATTTTCCCATCAAGAAGGGTGTAAGATAATGTTTGCTATTTACACTGTTCACAAAAGTGTTTTTTTTTCTCCAGTACTGTGAAGCGTCGATTTCATGGCTTGGGTAATGAACTGTTTACTATAATTCGATTATGTTTACCTAGATTCAAATTTCAGCTGCAAAAACATGGAAGAAATTTGCAACTTATGAAACAGCAGTTGTATACATTCTATTTCAGAGATATAGATTAAATTTATTTCTTATTTGGCTAATACGTTTTAGAAAGCCAGTTCCAATATCTATTTGATCCCTACATGGATCATGTACATATATATATATATATATATATATATATATATATATATATATATATATATATATATATATTCATGAATTATTCATACAAAAAACAAATGCAAAGGTTAATGATTTAATTGGCGAAAAATCCATCGTCGCAAACAATTCAAATAATATACAAAAACCCCGAACCTATTATGAATGAAAAGATCCTTGTTTCTATAAATTTCTGCTGCATTAGTTCTTTTTTTTTTTTTCAGTAATAAGAGGACAACGAAAATATATGTATTGTTGTATCCGAAAAATGCTATTGGAAATGAGTTATTGTTTTTGGAGCGTGCAGTAAATCAAACTCAGCGTTGCTACTGCACGCCCAAAAACAATAACTCATTTCCAATAGCATTTTTCGGATACAACAATACATATATATTTTCGTTGTCCTCTTATTACTGAGAGAAAAAACAAGAACAACATCTATTCCATGCCTGAAGATGTCTGTAGGAACAGACGAAAGCTTGTAGTAAAAATAAGAACTAATGCAGCAGAAATTTATAGAAACAAGAATCTTTTCATTCATAACAGGTTCGGGGTTTTTGTATATTATTTGAATTGTTTGCGACGATGGATTTCTCGCTAATTAAATTATTAACTTTTTGCATTTGTTTTGTATGAATAATTCATGAATTTGTAAATTGATTGCACGTTTATCGAAAATATATATATATATATATATATATATATATATATATATATATATATATATATATATTCTATTTTATATACGTTTGTCCATATTTAACCCACAGTTCAAATCAAATAACATTTTTTCAAGTTTCTTTAACACTTTAAAAATTGTTTGATCGACGAAATACTCATTTGAGAAATTAGGTCAGACAGAGAACATTTTAGCACCACATCGTGCATATATATATATAGAGAGAGAGAGTGAGGGAGGAAGGTAGAGAGAGAGAGAGAGAGGGAGGGAGGAAGGAGAGAGAGAGAGAGAGAGAGATAGAGAGAGAAGTGTCGATTTCAGTATACTTCTTTTTGTTCTCTGATAGGAAAACACAAATGTGACAGATTCAATAATGGATACTTGCTTCCCAGTAGACATGCAGCTTCATTCCGGTTACAGATATCTTCCTTTCGGTTCGAGGTGTTTTCTCGGTTGATTAATGGATGTGTACGACGAGAAACTATCGCAAAATAACAATCGGTGAACATGATTTTTACGCAAAAAAAAAAAAAAAAAATGCGGTCACAAGACAAAGCAAGAAGTTGATTAACACTTCTCACATCAATCCGTTTATCTGATTATTTGCGATAGGAAGAAAGATACGCAAAAAAAAGAAGATCTGTAGGTGTAATGTATTCAGGACATCGTATTCCCATTCTAAGATTAATGGTAACTTAATTCATCAATTAAATAAAAACCTCGCCTGAGTGTGATTCTCAGTGTGAGCTTCACAATTGAGCCCTTGTTCTATGAACTGAAGAAAACAAGTCGCCGTTGAGCTGTAAATAGAAAGCTGAGTAGATTATCAGATCTTCAGGGGACTTGTTCATCAACAGGTTCTCAGCGGCGATATCTTGGCTTCATGAAATAAGCGCGCCGATAAAGCAATTCTGGTTAGTGGAAAGTCGTGAGTTCAATTACGAGTTCAAAATCTTCAGTTAGGTAATGCAAGGATCAGATCATCGATTCTGCATAGATCAGCTACACAAGGTAAAACTAGTCGTGAATTCCGTTAGAAAGGACGGTGAGTGTGACAAGTATCGGAAGGAGAACACCAGAGCTCAGTGGTCAAATAAAGGATTACGTTCGCCATTACTGGAATGTCAACGAATGAATAAACACCCAAAGGATAGTGGAAGGTAAATGGGTCGAAACGTTAGGATACAAAAGAGTTTTGGAAATTGGCTCGAATGAATCATTATACCGCCATAAGAGTGATGTTCTTCTTCATCTTCATCTTCTTCTTCATCTTCATCTTCTTCTGATGATGATGCTGATGATGAATGTAGAGCCACAGTGGATGGATTTGATGGCTTGGTCACAGTTTGGGTTCTTCGTAGAAATAGTCAGTCAACATTGGTGAGATGGAGTAATGTTTTAGGAGTAAGGAGTAACACAAACTTGTCGGAGAGCAGAGGATTTTTTGAAGATGAAAATGACAGTCGTGTCAGTTATTTACGGAGCGGTTTCGGAACAAATATTCAGATGAGGTAAATTTCTTAGTTCTACCAACTCAGACGTTCACAATTAGGACACGCAATGACACTTACAAAGAGTCAACTAGGCCTCATTTCATTCATATTCCATTGGTAAAGAGGATGTCCAATTCAGTTTCTTCTTCAGAACTGTTACCTTGTGGAACAGACTCCCGACATGATGCTTCCTTGATCGAAATATTTTTAATCTCTTCAAGTCTAGAGTCAACCGTTATCCTCATAATATGCAGTTCTTATTCTCTCCTTGAACGCGCTTATAACTTCATTCAGTAAATCTCTACCTTGAATGGCTCATGGGCCTTATATTGGGTGAACTATTTTATTATAAAAAGTGCTTAGAACTGTCAAACATTTTATATCCTACATATCTTTATAAATGCACCTCTTATTCCCTCCTTGTACATCTTTATAAAAACCTCATTCAGTAATCGTTTACCTTGAGTAGCTCTTCGGCCTTGTGTTGGGTGAACGATAGTATTAAAAAAGTACCGAAAATAGTCCTAATTAGGCTCCAGCTATAACGGCTAAATTAGATGAAGAGTTGGAACCATTTAATCGACAGCATTGTTGAAAACAACTAAAATCCTGAGGAGTGTGCTAGAGTATTGAGAAGACTTGCTGCCATTTAACCCCATTGTAATTCATTTGTTACTACTGGTATAGAGAGTCAATAAGTGAATGGTAATAATAATAAGAGGAAGTGAAAAGAAAAAAAAAAGAAGAAAGGAAACTAAAAAGAAGAAAATCAAACTATTTTTTTGAATTGTCTAACGGTTCGTAAGAAGTAACAAAGGCAATATCATCATATCGATCTCAAACGAAACGATTCTACTTTTACGGCTCACGCGATGTGTTAAATTATGTTGTCTTCTCACCATAAGTTTACACATGCCGTCAAAAATGATGGTATGGACTTCATTATTATTAAGTTGTAACACGTGTGTAATTAAATTTATTTTCTTCAATTATTATCATTTAAACATTTGTGTATCCAGACATCGACATCTTCAATTTCATGTTTTGTTTTGTTTTTGGTCATTTCTAAATTTCGAAGAAAGGTTGGTCTCTTTACATAATTTTTTCCAACAGTCAACCTGCCATTTCCACAACAGTCTTTTCTGTCTAACCAGAGTTATCTCTCTTGAACTAGCAAATTCAAAAAAAAAAAAAAAAAAAAAATATCAAGACATTGCAGACAAAAAATATATAAATTCACTTATATCCATTGCTAGGTCAGCTGCTAAGAAAGATGGTTCACTATGTCGAGCAAGACAATTTTTTCTCTAGAATCTATCTTACATATCTATAAGTCTACCATTCATCCATTCCTAGAATATTGCTGCCACATATGGTTCGGTGTTCCTACTATTTATCTAGAGCTCCTGGATAAAATTCAAAGAATAATCAGCAATATTATTGGTCCTGATCTGTCGGTTCGGCTTCAGCTACTTTTCCACCGCCATAATGTAGCTTCCCTTTGACCTTTTTTTTTTTTTAAATAAATACTTTCATGGTAATTGTTCAGATGAGCTTTTCATTATGGTACTTAGACGTTTTGAATTTAAGCGCAGCGCTAGACTGGCGTCGAGATCTCATCAATTCACATTTGCGTTGGCTAAATGTAACCGTAAATTCTATGCTAACAGTTTCTTTTCTCGCACTTCTCGCTTGTGGAACTCCCTCTCAGCTCCATGCTTTCCAGCCAACTTTAATCTTCAAACATTTAAATGGAATTTCAATCGCTATCGACTGTCCTCCTGATTACTCTTTTTTTCTTCTCGCTCCCACATAATGTTTATGCTTCTAATTCTTCTGCACCTAGTAACCCCCTCGTGTCTTAGTGGCTTTACTGCCTTGCTTGGGAAGAACTCGATTTAAAGGAAAAATATTAATATAGTTAACTTTAACAGAAAATTTCGGTAATACATTTCCGATCACCATCATCATTTCTTAAAATATCACGAACAGTTTCATTTACAAAATCTTCTACCTGCCTTCAGGACGTTAGCGATCACAGCTCTCCATCTTTTCAGGTGCTTTGTAGCTCTTACTAAATATAGGCTACCTACCACCTACTGGGCTCGCCATCTCTATGGCGTGCGCGGCTGCATGCATCGCTCGCTCCCGTCCCCGTCCGCCTAAGTAAATGAATTTTGTCTCATCGGAAAGGAATTAACATCATTTTTCTATTTACCGTGTTCCTTCAGGACGTAAGTAATCATCGCTCACCAGAACTTCCTATCCATTGTAGTTTTACGTAATGTTTGTCTCTTTACTATTCCTCCCAGTCCATATTCTGCAATCCATTTACACAAGCTCGTTTGGTTGTTTTCTTGCTGTTTCTTTCTGTCCCTCTTGCCTTCAATGTAAGTGTCAAATTCTCCATTCCCTCTTTCCTCATCATGTATCCCAGAAAGTTCAACTCTTTCTGATTCAAAGTATAAGTGTTCTTTCTTTTTTTCATTTTACTTAAAAATTCCTGATTGCTCACATGTTCTGTCCATGGAAATTCTCAGAATCCTTCTGTAGATCCACATTTCTATTACCTGGAGTTTTTTCTTCATCTGTGAAGATTTGTCCATCATTCGCTGTCATATAAAAGGATTGATATTACATGTCTTTTCAGTGGTCTTTTCATTGTTTCTAATGAAATTTGAGAAATATACAATCTTTTTTTGTTTTACAGGTGATAGATGATAAAAAGTATGTAATGTTCTAGAGTCAGAGAAAACTCAAGAAAACATAAACAGACAAGTAACTTCAAATGAGATTCGAACTCTTACCTCACACGCTTGGAGCCTGTCTTCCATGGCAACCACCTTAAGCATCAGGCCTAAGTTGGCATATTTGGGCGGAAAGCTACCCAGTCCTTACTTTCTAGTCTCGATAGAGTCCAAAAGCGTCTCAATGTCCCTGTGGGTGACAAATTATTTTCCACCCTATCGCCCCTCTCTCACAGATAAGATGTCACAAGCTTCTCACTCTTCTATTGCTATTTCCGTGGAAAGTGCTCAGATGAACTACATTCCTTAGTTCCACCAGTTCTAACCTTCACGGCTAGGACCCGCCACACCCTGCGCATTCTAACGAACCACCCTCATTCCCTTCGTATTCCATTAGTGAGAAGTACGTTCCACTCGAGCAGCTTCTTCCTGTGCTTCGTACTCTGTAACCCTCTACCTCGAGTGGCTCCTTGGCATTGTACCAAGTGAACCACCCTGCAAAAAAAAAAAAAAAAAAAAAAATGGACACAGGGATTTAAATAATTAAGTAAAGCACACCAGCCTTTATGAGCATTTGCTCCATCTTTGTTTTGCTAGCTTGTAATTGTAAAGCAATTGTTTTAGTTTCGAGATGAAGAATAACTTTTTTGATAACTAGTTTTACTGCATTTTATTATTGCTTAGTATTGTTGTCTTCTTCCCAGAGCTTGCATTTGGCAAGAGACCACCTGGCGCTCCACATTGTTGATTCAAGGATCAGCTCAAAAACACCCTACTGAGGACAGAAATCGATCCGGTCAATTGGGAGATGGAGACAGCAGAAAGAATCAATTGAAGAAGAACAATCCACTAAAACAGAAAATATCCTTTGAAAAACGACAAGAAGAGACGAAGGAAGTCCAAAGAAAGGCCTTACTATGCGGTGGCTGTGGATGTCTCTTCAGATTCAACATAGGACTGATTTCGCACAGAAGAAAATATCGATGAGCATCTCAATACTCGACAAGTTCCGCCAACGACGATTATTGTTGTATTTTTAAGTATAAAATTAATAAGATGGAATAAAGTACCTCAATTAGAGGGTCACATACAGCTTTGA